TTGTATTTTTCCCTCTATAATGTAACATGAAAATCTAAAGAGACGATGCTCGACCGGAAAAATAAGAATACAGGAGCAAATCTATTTAACAATAAGTAAATGGCTATCTCGGTAAATACTCCGAGATATCGCCAAGCTGGCGATGGTTTAGATCTTAGACGACTAATTTTTGTCACCAAATTTGGCGAGAAACCGCCAAAAGTCGCTGAATTTTACGACCATTTTGGCCCAGTCCCGTTTTATCACCTTCATAGGTATTGTAATTGAATAACTGTAATTGATTTCATATGAGATGTAACCGTATCCTGTCCTCATATGCCTTCCAGTAATACGAGAAGTAATAAACATTTCACGGCGGTACCGGGAGAAAACTATATATGATCGGAAAGAGTATCTGCTCTCGGTTGTTAGTTCAGCATGAGTTCGGCGTATTGAGATATCACCGGATTAGCTTCGCTCTTTAGAATGCGCTTTGCATTGCGTTGTGTTTAACTAAGCAATTTTTAAGTAGTTTGAAGAGTAGCTGTTGACTGTACTCTGTGATACTGAGAAGAGTTGTACAATTATTTTTGTGAAAAGTTCCAGAACTCTGAAGTGTTTCTTTTTATACGATAAATTTTATTTTATCACGCCACAATACCTTAAAAAGTTCAAAGGAAGTTTTAGATCGATTTCGATCATTAGATATACAATGTTATCAATTAAAAAAACGCAGAGCAGCTGCAGAAGAATAAAACTGATGAACGCTGGTAGTTCATTCCGAGAGGTTATTTTGGTTTTTTCCATATGTAGTATTAATATAAGCAAGTTCCCTTTAAAGTCGCTGAACAAGGTAGTTCGGTCCGGGGTTTGAATCCCAGGGAAACGGCTGCATGGGCATTTTCGTGGTTTACCCCGTGTGTATCGTTTATACGAGCCAGTTTCCTTCAGAAAGTCCTGCACGAAGACATCCTTTCCCGTAAGCAGATAGCCCTTATTTGCTTTTCCATAATCAAATAAACCAAATCAATAGAAACCTTTAGAAAAATCCTTCTCAAAGGCCTCCGTCGCCTTTGAGATAACCTTTGCATACTTGCATGCTTTGCCACAACCTAAAAAATCAAAATTCTAATCAAACTGAAATATAGGAAGAGAAAAAGCAATAACGGTTTGGATTAAAGCCGAGAGAAGCTGCCACAAAGAATTTCTAAACAGTATGAGCAGTATATGCAGATCAAGCATTAATACAATCTACTTTTTATTTGCATTGATAATTCCATGATAGAAGGGAAGTTTCGATGATGAAACCAGGAATGATATTTCGAAGGATGATAACATCTGAAAAGTTCGCAAACATTTCTGAAAAATCATCAGTTCTCGTTTCGAATGATAGCATGAGATTAACATCAGCAGAAATGGCTGCCGGAAGACTTTTAAAATTTCTCTTTTTCTTTTTTTTTCGCGTGTTATTTAGTGGGAAAAAGCAGGAAGTTAGAATTACTGCATATCAATATTTGGCTGATACAATGGACATGAACGCCAAATTTTCAAAATAAATCTTAACTGTTTGACGGAAGCTGCTATTTTGCTTATGACCCAAATAGTATCATTTGCATGACATGAAAATATTCGACTGCAAACACTTCAGAAGTTCAGAATAAAAACAGTGTTACTGAAATTATTTGATTGGCAGGAAGTTATTCACGCGGAAATTTTATCTTATTAGATGCAATAACCTCTGTGTTCTACAATAGGTAACAGACCATCTTCTGAAAGGAATTCAGGCCATTAAGCCAAATAAGACTGGATGATGTAACTTCTTTTTGCTACTTCGGAATGCCTCTTCGTATAAAATAATCAAGAATTTTAGTGCAAACAAAAGTGTAACTGCTCAAAATCATCTCTTGGCTTCCAGGACAAAAGCGAACTACTTTATGTTTTCTGTAATGAAATGTTACATGAGGATACATCATTCAATTTTTCAAAGTATTAGCTCCTGTATTCTTATTTTTCCGGCCGAACATCGTCTCTTTAGATATTACTTTGAAAATTATTTTTTAGATATTACTTAATGTTAAAATATTTTCAAAGTAAATTATTTTATTACTTAATGTTAAATAGATTTGCCCCTGTATTCTTATTTTTCCGGCCGAGCATCGTCTTTCAGAAATTTAAGAAAACATAACGAGAGAAGAATTAAAAAGCATTCTAACAATTCAGCTATACGAGTAACACATTCCAGCAGTTTTATGAACGCTTTAAGAGATGCACAGTATTACCGGAGAGCATAGTACTTAGGTGCACATCAGTATGGCTACCGAGGAAGGGTTTCCAGTATACGAGCCAATGAGCTTCTACTGACTCTGAATATTTAAAAGCTGCTGTTTTTTTTAATTTTATTTCGCTTTTGTTTTCCAGCGCCCAGTATGTGTTAATATTCCTTTCAAACACATTGCACAATTACTTACATTTGATCTAATTTCACATTGATAATTTTCGCAAGAAATTTCACGACGTTTTAATTGTTTTGTAGAGGAAAAAATTTTCAACCATTTCGCATAAAGCGCAACAAAGGTCATGTGACAGAACATAAAATACTACTGGAAGTCAATTGGCCATTCTAGAAGCTGCTCGGTTACGGTACCAATGTACACTTACGAATTATGCTACCGGGAATAAGCGTATTTATCAGTTTATCTAATTTATCAGAAATCTGTATCTGATTTGTAAGCGTCTTTTGCGGTTGAAAAGACGGCAATACTCTCTTCAGGATTCGATATTCCGTACTTCTCATCATACCACGGAGGCAGGGGTGAGGAAGGAGAAAATTCCTTATACTCTTCCCTGTTAATTTATTTTCCTCTTGAAAAAACGCAGTATGTAAATAAAATATTTATGCTGCTTTTGACGTAATCTTTGATAAATGCGATTATTGGTAAACGTGGAAAATTTCTTATAGTCCTGTATATTTCTTTTCGTTGCTGAAGATATTAGATGATACCTTTATATAGGGAAGCTCAAACAACCGTATATGTAACTGTAATAGAAAGGCATAATAATTTGACTTGTAAGGATGTTTTGTTAATTCTAAATAATAACACTTCAAAAAATCTGAAGTAGACATCACATAACTTCCTTGTACGGCCTATTTTATACATATTATTGGTTGAACTTCATTTAAACTTATTTCCGCGAATCAATCTAACTTTATTAGCCAATTCCTCATGGCAAGTTGAAAATGACATCAAAAGTTGCGTATTTTGAAATTAAATATCCCCGTCATTTTTTCTTGTAATAGAATTTTATTTTTTCATAACAATTATAAAACTTTTCCAAATATAAGCATAGGAATTGAGAGACCGTATTAAAAGCTACATTCGTTATTTGTCCAAAATTATTTTTTTTTAATTTGACATTGACAAAATATGAATATTTTCACCGGGAAATGAAACTCATATAACTGGAAACTGTAAACTCATGTAACCGGAAATATGACTACGACCAATGACTGCGAAATTAAAGGCAGGTAGGGTAAGTAAGGGGTAGGAGTATTATATATATATATATATATATATTTCGATAGATAGATAGATATGATTGCAATAAAAAAGGAGGTGCATAATTAGATGTTGTATTAGTCCCATATACAAAATTTCAATGTTCTGCGTCTAATCCTTTTTGAGTTAAGCGACATACACACATACGCGACGTCACGAAAAAATCCCATTTTGCAATCCGTTTTTGAAAAAAATAATACATAAAAACTGAAAATATTTTTCATCAAAAATTGAAAGATATATATTTATATACTTTTGGTGCGGCCGATTGCAACCAAAATGGGAGGTGCACAACTACATATTACAGCAATTCTATGAACAAAATTTTTACGTTCTAAGGCTACTCGTTTTTGAGTCATGCGAGATACATACATACATACGTACAGACGGCTAGGAAAAAAAATCTCTACTGAATCCCTTTTAAATCAGTTTTATAATTCGTTGAGGTAAAAAGAGTCCTTTATTCTGTCCTTACGAACAGATGACACGCAAAAACATAGTTAAATTGCGGTGAAAATGGATATTTTCGTTGAAATATGATATTCGGAATATTTTGTGCTTACAATACTTCCTTTATTTCGTACCAGGAAATAAAGAGAGTCCTTTATTTTGTTGGCACATAAAATCCTCACAAAAAATAGTGAAAATGGTTTCGGGAACGCTCAAAATGTGTATTTTCGTTAAAGTGTGATACCCCAAATTTTTCGCCAATACAATACTTTCTTTACTTTGTACAAGGAAGTAAAAATCTTGTTGATGACGAGTTCTCCCCCCCCCCAAGTGACAGTAAGCTAAAGAAAGAGGCATACTGCGTGAAGATGGTACAAACACTGAAGCATTTTTTTGTTTTTGTTTTTGTTTTTGTTTTCATCATAAAGCCGACAAAAACTCTTTACTTTAATGTTATCAGTAGCAATACAATCTTCATCATACATTATACAAAGCAAAGAATTTGTAAATCATACGAGAATATGTAAAGCGTAATGTTTTAAAATATATTGCTTTAAAATTTGTCAAGACCGATTTCAAACTTAATTTCAAGTTGCCACCAATCAAACTAGCTATACAGAAATCTGTTTACGGTGGCTTTCGACTGCATTAAAAGATCTGCTCTATGCGTATTAGACGGCGAAAGGCCAGTTCCAGCACCTCCTATAGTGAAACTGCATTTACGCATGCCACAGTGTAACATGTTGGTTCCTCCATATTACATGTACACTATTAAAACTAGTATTATGCTAAAAGTGATCTGCGTATACTTTTACTTGGGACACCCTATATATTTTTATTATTATCCTAATACACTATTAACTACATAATATAATATTCTGCTCTATTAATGAAAGACTATAAAAAATTAAAGTATAGCATTACATATACATAATAAAGTTAACATAAATATACATGAATATTTTGAAAGTTTAATCTTTATGATAAAACTTAACCTTTATTTTGTTTCCACAGGGAGTGCAGTGCACGTCTTATCTGTTACTCATTGAAAATCTTCCAACGACATGGCATTCGAAAGCAGCTCTGGCCGTAGCAATATTCCATTGTTTGGGCGAACTTATCCTAGCTACACTAGCTTGGCTGATCAGGCACTGGAGATATCTACAGCTAATCATTTCGGCTCCAGGAGTAGTCGTCTTTGGATACTTTTGGTAACGTGTTATATTAATATTTACTTACGCGATGAAAACTGTAATTTCAGGCATCTTTATAAGCTAGAAAAATAACAGAGATAGTACATTTCTGTAAATTCAACAAGGGAAATAAATTGTATAACAGACAGAGCCACACTGCGGCTTTATCATTCCAAGCATGTTGAGCCTTAACTGCAAATCACACCGTAACAAGAATAGTTTTATTTTAAAACTTTATTTCAGCTCATACAAGGACTATGTTACGACAGGCTTGTAACAATCAATAATCAATCAATTATCTCATTTTTTAAAAATTTTTACGTGTACTAATTTTACACAGTTTCAAAGTGAGCGCCATTTCATGGATTTAATTACTCGGATTTATTACTTTTCGAAACATACTAAACAGCTCTCAGGGCACCAGTAAAGACAAATAAATACATCAGCAACACTTTGAGTTGATAATGCACCTCAAATATTACTGCACGGTTAGCTTGATCCTGTCCTGGAGAAAGCAAAACATATCTGATGAGATCAAGTTTGAAGTTAAAGAATTAATTAGTCATTAGAGTTAGCTTTTATCTCCGTATAATACTTCTTATTTTGGTTGCATAAAAAAACTTCCATCCCTTGGGTCGATAAAATGACTAACACTGGGGGTCCTGCGACAAGCTGACCACTACTTCAGGCATATGCTTACGCACCCCGGGGCCCACGGTCAAGAAAGCAGATTTCGGGCACTGCAGGCGTTGGCTCATTAGGGCTGTTTGCGCCACTGAGTTTAGTTTTAGTTTAGTTTTAGAAAAACTAAATTAATATTTTTATGCAAAAATTCTTAATGGGCAGCTTATTTTAAATAATTATTACACGTCTACCGCAATTTCGCAGCATAATGCGCTGTTTTTTCTTTCATGTTTTAGAATTAAGTGTGAAAATAAAAACATCGCTTATATTATTTCACAAATCACTAAAAGGACCGCTATGTTTTCTTTCTTTTTCAGCTTATGAAAATTCAAAGCAGCGAAAAAATGTTTTAAATCTAAAAGAAAAGTACATCTTTCAAAAATTTCAAATTTGTATTTTGTAGGAACGTGTTTTCCTGAATATAGCGCTAGAAGCAGCAAGAATTATTTGTATTTACATCAAAGAATAACAGCATCATTAATGAAATGCAACATAATTGTTAAGTAGCTTTAAACATTTATTTCTACTCATAAATTATTTTTGAAGTAATATAAAAGCTTAGTTTCTATTGTGGATTTTTAATGTTAAGTATGCGACACTTATTGAAATGCAGTTTGTGTATCTCTGTTATATATATTTATCCTAGTATCATACTACGTATATTTAAATTGATAGCATGTGGCATTTTTTTACGAAGTAAGAAATTATTTAAAGTAAAGAATATAGATATTTATTGGGCGTCCATTTGCTATTTTTCTCTAGTGATAAAACGATTAGCACAGTGATCTCAAACTCAAATTGCACTCAGGCCAAATGCTCGATCTAAAAGCAACTGACGGCCAGAACACTTTTTAAAGAAAATTTTGAAACATATTTAACAAAACAAAACGTAAATAAGTAAATATAAAAAAAATTGAAAGCATTCAGATTTTAACGATCGCCCGAAAACGTTTGTTAAAGTTTATTTATTCTCTCGCTGAGCTCGCAGTCTACTATTGCATCCACTCTTGCTAACCTACTTCTTTTTGTCGATTCGCCTAAGCATAACTTTAGAATTATGTGTCTTTATGAATTTATGTGTCTTCGCACTTAGACACATACATTTCAACAACAAAATTACAAAAATTTTAAAAGCAACGTAGCCGCATATATTTACAATTCTCGAGGAAGTATTAAGTGTTGGTATACATATTTCTATTTTTTTACTCTTTTCTCGGTTCATCATATTATAAGATGGCTTAGTGAAATGGCTTGCAAAACTTTTTTTCTGTCTCTTTATTATTAACGTTTTATGCGCTAAATTTATTAATTAAATATCATGTTCTTCGCACTTATATGCCATATCAAAATCAATTCGTCAGCAAAATCCCAAAACGTTTAAAAGCAACATATCTTTAGAATTTCCGACAGTCTCAAGCGCTGGAGATAAAAATATACTACGTATCGTTCTTTTTTTCACAAAGCGAGGAATATACATACATGCAGATTCTTCATTATTCAGTTTCTTTAAAAATAATACAAGGAGATAATATTTGGTGGCAACCATTTGATAATGATAGAGCCGTTTACAGTGGACGACGTAAAATCCCGTTACGAGACTAATGCCCCGTTTGGGCTAACGCGCTTTTAGGCTAAAATCCCACTAGGAAAAGAAAAAATTCAAATTTATTTTTATTTTCTATCTGAAGTCTAAACGTTTGTACCTGCAAGAAATCTCTATGGTTATACTTTATATTCAAAACGCACTGACGTCGAAATATTAATTTTTAGAATGGCATTTATTTCTAGTTATTCCACCATGTTGAATTAAATACTATATAACTTAATTTTTAACCTTAACCTAAAATTTCAGAATACTGAAGCGCCACCATCTCTAAGCTGGCAAACTAACTATACCGATTTTACCAACGCGGAAAATTCTGTCACTTACTCTAGCCATGTGGCCTGACAAAGCCCCAACTTATTCATTCTATCTTTCTTTTCCTTCAATAACAGTCGCAAACACAAACTTAGCCCATATTTTTATGTCTCTAAAAATAAGCAACTATTTATAACAGATACGTAATTAAAATGAATTCGCGGGCCGGCCGCATAAAAATTATTCGGGGGCACGAGTTTGAGACTCTAATATGCTGCAAAATATTAGTGAAAAGAAAAATATATTTAAGAATGTAATGCATTAATAAAAATATTTACTAGCCCAAAGAGGTTATTTTGCCCTGAAGGGCTATTAATTTCGTTTTGGCATTTTGCGTTGAAAACATAAATGCATTGGATCACTTTTCATATTGTTACTACCATTTATTATCGCCTTGTATTATATTTAAAGAAATTAAATAATGAAGAATCTGCATCAATGTATGTATGTTTCTCGCATTGTAATAAAACAACGATACCTACTGTCATCCTATTTTGAATAACGTAATCCTCCAACTGAATATGGGCATCTTGAAGCTCAAATTTGGAATTTGGTTTATTGTTTACTTCATATTTTGTAAAATTTTAACGAATTTTTAATTAACAAACTGAACGATTTCAAAGCGAGCAATGGCAGCACTGTAGGGGAAGAAGAAAGGCATTTTTATCTCCAGGGCGGAAGACTCGGTATCGGAAATTCTAAAGGTATGCTCTTTTTAAACTATTTTGTGATATTGCTGTTGAATTGAATTTTTTTTATTTAAGTGAGAAGAACATGATATTTAATAAATAAAGGTAACGCGCAAAACGTTAAAAAAAAAAGCACTTAATTAGGAAGTGGCAAAATATTAAAGAAGATAAAATGCATACGCATATTTAAAATGTAATGCTCTAGATAATAACATGGTTTATTTTTCTTTTTTCGAACAGGCTTTTGCCTCGCTCTTTAGCGTGGCTTGTTGTCGAAAACCGCCAGCACTCTGCTCAGATCCAATTAGCAAGGTTTACGAACGAGCCAACGTCGTCTTTGCTACCAAGTCTCCGAATGCAGATCCTGAAATCGTGCAGGGTGGCAGTTTCTACGCCCTGTGGCTATGCAGCGAGGCATAGTTATGAGACAATCATTTGTTCTTCCAGACTTCGGACCTTTGCTTTTACACAATATTACATATGGTACGCTTCATGTTCCTTTTCATGTTATGACCGTGACACTTGACAAAAGCTTATGACTTCTGGAACACATGTAGACCTTGTCTATAGTCTGTGACATAAGGTCTTGAGATGACCTACCTGATTACTTACTTTTAAAGTTGTATTTTTAAAGAATTTAGAAAAATAAACCATGTTATTATCTAGAGCATTACATTTTAAATATGCGTATGCATTTTATCTTTAATTTAATGCTTTAATTTAATATGGAAATTAAAAATCTAATGTTATTGTGAGACAAGGCTCAGTTTTCTCATAAAATGAAAAAAAAAATATTCATTTTAAAGACAATAGGCAAAAGACTGCTAATCACTTTTCAGGTTCTAGCATGAAATACATGATATAACTCAATACAATGTGCATATATATATATTTACTTAAATAACCTAAAGTTAAAGTAAATTGGAGTCAAAGCAAGGCGATGCTTCAATAATATTAATAATTGCATCCTTGTAAAGAGGTTAAACATAAAATAAAAACATTTCAAAATAAAAATGATCATAGTAGTACAAACTCGAAAACTAAAAATGCAAAATATATATATATATCTATATCTATATATAGATATATATATATATATATATATACAAGATAATAAAAATATAAAAACTTAATCTCTTAGACTTTAATTTAGAATTCATCAGGGAAAAATGGCATTGAGAGTGAGAGAGATTAATTTATTGAGACTTTGATTTAGAATTCAGCAGGGGAAAATGAATTAAAGCTTCATAAAAGTTGATTAATATGATACGTTCGATAATCAACGTTTTCGAAGCATATTAATCAATTTTTATGATAATTTTTATTTTGAAATGTTTTGATTTTATATTTAACCCCTTTTAAGGATGTAATTATTAATATTGTTGAGGCTTGCTTTGACTCCAATTTACTTTTAAATGTAGATGCTTTAATTTTATTTTACTTCAATCCTGCAGCTATACCGCAGGATGGGTTTAAAAATTTGCTTTTTATTTTTGCCTCCTATTAAGTTTCTTTATGTATTTATATATATTTACTTATATATATATATAATTTATTTACTAAAGAAATATTGATTATATTATCTCCTAATTAAATTTAGTGGAAGTATCAAAAAAGAGGGAACCCATATGTAGGGTATATAGGACATATGTAGGAGATAATATAATCAATATTTATTTAAATAAATTATTATTATCTTACTTTGCAGCTATTGCGCAAGTATTAGAAAAAACTTGTTTCGAACTAAGTGAATTTAAGATCATTCAACATATATATATATATTTTATATTACTGACACCAATTTACTTTAATTTCTTTAAGTCTCTCTCTCTCTCTCTCTCTCTCTCTATAGATATATATATATATATATATATATATAACATATGTGTGTGTGTGTTTGTTCACTCTACTTAAACTAGCAAAGAAAATCTTAGTGTTGCAAAAAAAAAGTGAAAGATTTGCCTTTGAATTATCGGTAATTAATCTAAATTATTCCAAAAAGAATAATAATTTGATTACTTATTTTTCAGACATGGTTACATAAACAGATTAATTTTTGAAAGACCTACTTTAAAAAAAGTTATTACTATTTTTGGGGAGGGGAGGTAGCCAAATAAAAAAGCGGAATTAAGAGGCTGTTGCTAATTTAAAGTATAATTTATAGTTATATATTTTTTATCTTACATATATATCGTATATAAAATGCTAATATTATAATTATTACATTTTTAAATATTTGTAGAATGAACAAATACAGTTAGTACTGTCTAAATCGAACCATTTAAATGTTGTTTGTTATTTTGAAGGACATTGTAAAAATCAGAATTACTCGACATTGTTAGCTTGTTCTTAACCATTAAACTAACCTTCTTCGAAATAAATTTAACTTAAAAACTACTCTTAGAAAGCTAGTTAAGAAAATTATGATAATGATAACCTTGCATACTGAAAACAAGCTGATGTAAAAAAGTACTATTTACTGTCACTCAGTTTATTGATAAATTTTAATTGGTTAGTATTTAAAAGGTATTGATAAATTTTAATGCTTAGTCAACGTAATTATAAAATACTTTCTCATTCATGTTAATTCCCATAGGTTTGTAGTGTCTCTTGTGTCAAAATGCACAGCGGAAGAAATACCTGCTCTGAGAGATAATCCCTACTCACGACTCTTTGTACATGGTGTTCTGGAGTTATCATTTGTTATTTTAATTCATCTAGCTTCAACCAGGTACTAATATTTCATTATAATTCTAGTAACTGTTTTAGATTTTTAATTCTAGTAACTGCTTTAGATTTACTCTTTGTACAGGGTGTTATGGAGTTATCATTTGTTATTCTAATTCACATAGCTTCAACCAAGTACGAATATGTCATTATAATACTACTACTAACTGCTTTAGATTTTTAATTCTAGTAACTGCTTTAGATTTACTCTTTGTACATGGTGTTATGGAGTTATCATTTGTTATTCTAATTCATCTAGCTTCAACGAGGTACGAATATGTCATTATAATTCTAGTAACTGCTTTAGATTTTTAAAGCTTTATCCCGTTTAGCGCTCCCAAATTTTATTAACATTTAATTTTTATTTAGTGTAATATTAAAATTAAACGACTTTTATAATAATAAGAAGTTTTATTGTGAAGTAAAATATGCTATTAATTTGAAATAAACAAAGACCTTATTCCCTTGTTATAATTTTCTTTCTAATACCTTATTGCAATACTTTTTTAGGAAAATTTTTGTACATCATGTCCATAAAAATCCTTATGCGGCCTTTATTTGCGCTACGGTTGGTCTTACTAGTTACAAAAAACTTTTAAATGATGAAAATATTCATCTTATGATACTTTTAGCTTTAAAAAAACGAAAAGAAAAAACACAAAAATAAAAATCTGAAAGCTTTCAAATTTTATATAAAGGCTAAAGGAGCGTTTTTTAACGTTTTGTGTGCTACTTTAATTAATATCATGTTCTTCGCGTTTATACCATGAAATTCAATTCAATAGCAATATCACAAAATATTTAAAAGAGCATATCTTTAGAATTTCTGATACACAGTCTAGCGTGATCGGGATAATTTTTTCCGTACAGAATTGTCATTGCTTGCTTTGAAATCCTTGAGTTGGTTAATCAAAAATTCTTTAATGTTTGACAAAATATGAAATCGATAATAAAACCAATTCCAAATTTGTGTTTCCAAGTGCCCATATTCGAATGAAAGACTACGTTATTCAAAGTTTGATGGTTCTAGATACCGTTATTTTTTCACAGTGAGATAAACATATATACATTCATGCATATTCTTCATTATTTAATTTTTTAATGCAGGGTGATAATATTCGGTTGCAACAATTTGAAAAGTGAACCGACGCAAAATGTCAAAATGAAATTAGTAGCCCTTCTGGGAAAATTGCCCCTTTGGGCTAAAAAAGATAGAAATTCGATTTTTTTTTTTTTTTTTTTTACTGTTTTCCGATCCATGTAGTTATATTTAGTAAAAATATATACTCATTCTAAAAAATAAAACTGAAAATTGTTGACTCTTGTACAACAAAGTTCATCGAGGTATTTAATGTAAAAGTTTGCTATCATTACAGATTTTTTTAGTCTCAGATAAGAAAACTTATCGTACTTCCTGAGGGAGCAGTTAAAACTAAATTAGGATGACTTGAGGTTGATTATTTTCTCCATTTAATCTCAGTCATGATATACTTTGTGATTTATTATAATCTTTTAGTATAACATAGCAACTTTAAGGTTATTTTTCGCAGTCCGATTTAACTTTTAGTCATAGGAATAACAGCTGCGGAAAAAAAGATCGAATCTCTTAATTTTTTTCCACCACTTTATTTCTGTTTAGTAAGTTTCACTTCATTAAAACGGCGTGAACGAAGATACAGACGATAACAATGTGGAAGAAAACTTCGCAGATAAAACAATGCAAGGGAAAACGTCGTCGTAAAAATACCGCGACAGAAAAGAAAGCAATGTAACAAAATCGCAGCTCTAAAACATCGGGGGATAAAACGAAATAAAGCGGTTCAAAGCATCGTGTTTTTAAAACATCGTCATAGATAATATCATAGTAAAAAATAAAGCATGACGATGACATCACAGACATGTCTTTTCGAGCTTTAAAATTTGTAAATGTATATTCGCACAATGATTTGCAAGCGCAAGATGGAAAGAGGAATATTTTAACCTCTATATTTCATATTTATGGTTTAATGAACAATGTTTTGCTAGAAAAAGAAGAAAGAAATTTAAGCATTCAAAAAGTGAAAATGATTAGGACATCAATGCTTCGCATAGCAGTTAAAAGAATTTTAAATTTCTGTGCTTCCCATTTAAAGGTAATTTTTCAACTCATTTATTTTATAAAGTTGTGTTGGCAGTTTTCATAAAAAATATATTCTATGAAAGATTAGAAAAGAGAAGATGAGTAACTGCATAGATTACATATATTAAAATTGTTTAATTGATTATCAGGCTTTAAAATTATTTTCTTTTACCTTTTTTTTTAACAAATTTCTTTCCTGTTATTTTAGCAAAAGTTATTAACTAATACAAAAATAGGAAATATAGAGGTAAAAATATTCTTCATTTCTTTATGCTGTCGCAAATCATTATGCGAATATATACATTTGCAACTTTTTAAAATCTGAAAAACGCAAGTCTTCGATGTTATCGTCATGCGATAATTTTTAGCTAATTTTAGCGTCTTGTGATAATTTGTGATTAGCGATCTTTTCAACACTCACCTGAACGAAACCTAGCTCGAACTGCAGTCTCAAATGAGGTGGGAAAAATAAATGTTGTGAGACGATGATGACGTAACTTACGAACGCAGATGGGGGGGAGGGCAACTGCCTTGACGAGCCCGTAACAGACTACAGTTTGCAGCATTCTTTAATTTAAAATTTTTAACATTTGATATAAACATTGATATAAACTTTTATTAAATATAACTATACGAACATAGGAATCGTATAAGAAGTAATTTTTTTTTTTAATTTTTTTTTATTTTTAATCAGGTTTTTTTTTTTTTTTTTTTTTTTTTTTTTTTTTTTTTTTTTAATTTAGAAATGACAATACCTGTATACGTGTCTTTTTTGAAACATTTTTGTAGTTGTAAATATATATGTGTGCGACCAATGGCTTAGAAAATAAAGGTCGCGTAAGGAATTTTATAGACATTGTGTGTATCTGTCAGTAGTAAGTTTCATTAAAAATTTTGTGTTAGTAATGAAAAGCAAGAAAAGGTATCTGCGTAATAAAAATAGCAACAAATTGTTTTATTACAAGCCTCACTATTATTAAGAACAGTCTTGAATGTATTGCCAAATGCATTCTTTATTTGTGAATTCTTTTATAATTCATTAAATCTGTTGTACATTTAAATTTTGCTTCTTTCAACAGCGTTGGTTTGAAATTAACTCAAGCCACATCGCTGTCCATCTCTGGCATTTGCTGTATGTTCGCGGCCATCGTCAACCACCAGATAGTGCAAATGCGATTCCGATGTAAGTTCCTGTTATTTACAGTTTCATGTTTGTTGTGTTACCAATCTGTTAATTATTTGTGATAAAGAGTTTCTTCTGCTACTCCTGAATCATTACTTTTTGCAAAAGTATCACAACCACGCTATCACTTACTAACTGCATAATTATTTAAGCAAGTAATGGGGTTTTTCTTAAGTAAGTTATGGGTAAGTAATTAAATAAGTAATTTAAGTAAGTTATTGGGTTATGGGGTGATCTGATAAACGTTAAGTAGTCCCAAACTCCCAACAACAGATATAAAGCGAATTATATATCTGAAATATGAATGTTATGTCTGAAAGTACCTGCAGAGTCAGAAGAAGGTTTAAATAAAGTTTTTATTTAAGCACCTTTTTGTGCTAACAAAATCAATCACAGCTGGTGACGATGCAACTAAATAGGAACAGTTCAATTTCAGTTTAAACGTAGAACAGTGGTCAAAGAATACACGATAAAATTTTGATCTAAGATGTCTCAGTAATTCTAACAGAGGTGTCTAATTCAAATGTCTGCAGCGATAACGCAAAGCCGAATAATTACTACTTATCAGAACTAGAAGAACTAACGCAGTATGCCCGCGCAGGCCAGAAACACGCTCTGTCTTACAATCGAAAAACCTCAGTTTAAATACTATCTACCCTAATTTACATTGATGAAGAGACGGAAAGTAGAAGTTAAAGTTAACTTTAGTTAAGATCCAATTCATAAAAATCTGGTTAATTTAAATAATAATAACTGTAAAAAGTATATTAAAAAGATAATTTAGCTGAGGAGAGTAATGTAGCCAGAGCTTTACCCCTCCGGCACAGTTCCTGACTTTGCCCTCCCTTTTCGGAATATTTACCAGTATTTCTAGTACAAAATGTCAGAGTAATGCACATGTCAGAGTAATGATTGAAACCACAGGCCTATTTTTTACCTAAGTAAAGCTTCAAAAGTATTTTCTCCCTTCTTTCCGCATACATTCTTGTTTAACGGGAAGCACACTCGACGCGTATTCGAGAGATCCAGGGTTCGAGTCCTGGTGAGGGGAATTGCATATTTTTCACGTATCCTGCTTTAAAAAAAATCCTAATGACTCTACAAGTGGTGCCCGAACTAAAAGGTGAAGGACGCTATTTCGTCACTACCAGGATTTGGCGACAGGGTCTTCTAATCCCTAGTCACTCTCTAAAAGGGGGAGTGTTTTGTAAAGTCATTAGGTTATTCTGAAACAGGAGACATGAAAAATGGTTCAATGCCCTCACCGGGACTCGAACCTGGACCTCTCGAATACGCGCCAATTGTGCTACCGTTTACCAAGAAGGCATACAAAAAGGAATAAGGTATTTTCTTCCTCCTTTCCTCATGCCTTTGGGGTGTAATTAGCAGCATACTCGACGCGTATTTGAGATGTCCAGGGTTTGAATCCCGACGAGAGCACTGCTCATTTTCCACATCTCCAGCATCCCAAAACCTAATGACTCTATAACTTTAATTCCAATCTTCTAAAATGTTATTTTCCTTTCTTTATTGTTGACAAAATCATAGATGACTTCTTTTTTTGATTCTTAATTACTGTTCTTAAATTTTTCTAAGTGTAAGATACTCATTTATAGGCTTTAGTAAATTCTAACAATTTGTATTAAAAAAAAAACTCATCTCATAACTTGTAACATTTACAGCAACTGTGAGATAGATTTTGCAGTTGTATCGCAGTACAGTAAATCTGCATTTCCACGGTTCCGGATGATTTTAGTTTTCTCTGGAGGTATTATGAGGTATTTCTCCCGCCTTCTTAACATGCCTTCCTACTGTAGTGGTCTGCACGCTGGGCAGACCAGAGGTCCGTGGTATTCCAGACTTCCGTGGTTCGATTCTCGGCGAGAGGGCTGCTCATTTTTCATCACTCCTGCTATAAAAATAACCTAATGACTACTCAGTGGCGCCCGAACTAAAAGGGTGTTGGATGATGATTTTCCATACTCAGGATTTTTCGATTGTGTACCCTAAAAACCCCAGTCGCCCTTTAAAAGGGGAGTATATGAGGTATTTCTTCCGCCTTCTTAGCATGCCTTTGTAGTACAGTGGTCCTCAAGCTGGGCGCGTATTCCAGAGGTCCGTGGTTCGATAACCGGCAACGGCGTTGCTCATTTTTCATCTCTCTTTCTTCCAATTAACCTAATGTACTTACAACAAAGCAACAAAAATTGTTAACTTCGTTTCATTGTTTTCCATTTAAGAATCTTAATTGCAGTAAAATATTCAAAAATAGGTTTTGGTAGGTTTTTTATTTTCATTTTACTTAATTCCAAGTGTAATTTTTAAAAAGCTATTAAGTAGTAAAAATTACTAAATTAACGCAATCAAAAGCGTTTCTCAAGAATAAAATTGTGTCTGAAGAAGAAAATTACAGCTCTCAGAAATATGCGGGCTAGGCTGGACTGCAAATCCGCCTGCTGTAGCTACGCCACTAGAGAAGGGAATAAGGAGTGTAAGTTAAATTTATTATCTACGAAGCACCCGCTTTAAAATCATTTTTAAATGCATATTATTATTTTTCGTTCTAAAAATACTTAGGAATAATGTTGTTTACTGCTGCTTCTCAAGCGTTTATCAACTGGTAATTCGAGCTTGTTTGCAGGTAATTTTGATTGCACCTGTTTCTCAAGCTCGTTTCTGAAAGCAGTAGAAACCATAACACATGCAAACCATTGTATAAGAGATAAGTAATATAAAAGAAAAATTTTTAAAGTCAATTCCTGCTTGGGTCAACAAAGAAAAATTTAAAAAATACAAAAAAAAATTTTTTTAATTAAAAATTTTTAAAAATTTAATATGTGAAAAAAACTGTATCAACATCAAGTGTCATCCACTACAAGTTTAAAAAACTGTATTTGAACTTGAGTGGATGAATTAAAAATATTTTATTAACGATTGAAAATTAATTAATTAATAGTTAATTAAATAAAAAAATTTTAAAGTCAGTTCCTACTTACGTCAAAAAAAGAAAAATTTTAAAAATACAAAAAAATTGAAAAATACAAAATTTAATTTTTAATATGTAAAAAACTGCATTAACATCAAATGTCATCCACTACAAGTTTAAAAAAGAAATGTTTTGAACTTGAGTGGATGAATAAAAAGCATTTTATTAACGATTGAAAATTTGAACAAGATATAGAGAGAGTGTGAGCTAACAGTAAGAATTTAATAAAAGAAAGGTATCCTGGCCCACCTTACCCTAAAACAAACGAATTCATTTTAAAATTTTCACAAATTAAAATTCTTAAATTCTTCCCACAATTCTTAAATTAAATATGAATTGTTTAGAAAATATAAACCATTTGAATCAAAGTCATTACCGTGGGACAGAAAACGCATAATAAACGAAAAATAAAAGGATGTGTGTGTATTTGATCAAAAGTAAAAATATTTTCTGTGACAGACCTTTCTAAACATGAAAACTGCTTTGAAATCCATCAACTGTATCTTAACAGTTAATTTAAGAAATTGAGCAATTCTTATATAAGTATCTTTAGATGCACTGTGAATGCTGCTTATGAAAAATAAGTAGTTTTTCATGCGCTACGCACACGTAAGGAATGTGGCACCAGAGGACATGAAGTATCAGATGATTAATTTCATTCCAATGTCTGCATAAAAACCTAGGACGCAGGATGAAATACAAAAAGGAACGAACTCTTAATTGCGTAAACCTTCTTTCCGGAAATCGGCCACTGTTTGGTAATTCTGAAAAATATTTCTTCATCTTCTTGGAGGCTAAGTTACAATAAAAGCTGCAACGGGAAATTGGAATTCTCGTACCTGGTCCAGTGTCCTGGAAGAGTTAAATTGCTTGAAACTAAATTATTTGAATTTTTCTTATATCCGAAAGGTTGTAATTTCCATTAGACCAACTGGAATTCTCCTGTATTCATATAATAAGTAACCAGTTCAATATGCTTTTGACCATAATTATTTCTCAACGTTGGTTGGTCGAAATGAACTATTACGAAATGTACAGGCGCTGTGGGATGGCTTCGCTGCAAAGCAGTTTTAGGTTTGCCATAAAATGGCAGGGGAAGGCAGAGTTGCCCCATTTGGTGAGGAATCGGCCATTTGGCGACAAAATTGGCGATATACCAAGGCCGGATGGAGAACCTTCTGGAACGAATTCTTACCGGTTTAGCCCAGAGTGTTCTCGAACACAAGCCGGAAGGTATATAAACCCTGCTGGTTCGCAGTCAAGGAGTACCTCGCATAGAGTATCGAGAGTGTGTGTCTCGTCTAGCGAGCTGTTAGTCAGTCATTGAGCGAGTGTCTCGAAGTCTAGCGTCGAGTTGGTCGTCGAGTGCATCGAAGACTCTCTTAGTGTATCGTGGTTAGTGCATCGTCAAGAGAGTGTGTTAAGCTCCGGGAACGACTGAATCGAAGAGTCAGTAGCTGTGCTCTGTGTGTCGTCGAGTGCATCGCGAGTTGTAGCGTGGAGAGTCTCGAGAGTACGTGGAGTTCCGAGAACGACCAAGCAGAGTAGGGAGCTGTACTCTGGTGCTTTGCAGTGAAGCTGTCTCCACCGTGATAGCTTGATAACCTAAAAGCTGTGTCGCTGATCATGTCAGCGTGTTTATAACAGTTCGACGACTGTAAACGAGGTTTTGGAGTTGTCCTGATTAATATCGGCCAATGAAGTGTGTTTCGATACTTCATCGTCATTATTCACTCCAAATATACGAACCCCGTACGAACGTGAAGGGGGGAAACGTAACAGAACAATACTATGTGTTGTGTATTGCTATCCCGAATTTGTGTAATGGCCGAAGGCGTAGAGCGGTCGCTGAATTCCGCCTTGCCATCGGACATGACAGCCTACAATATCATCTTCATAGATTCAAAATTGTTCCTTCTCCGATATGCACTCTGTGCAGCTCTGGAGAGGAGATGGATGCCGCACATCTACCCCACTGCCCTGCTCTGCGCAAGACTTCTCTCGCCGAGCGTTACTGGGAGGCAAGAGATATGTTAGATTAATGGACTCTGTGGCAGCTGTTTTTTTTTTCTCATTGTATTGCTGTATTCTATGTTCTTTGTTCTTGTATTTTTGCCGTAACTGTTCATAATCTGCCATTGGAAATTTTAAAAAATGTGTTGTTGTATTGAACTCTCAGGTCTCATTCCTAACTCATCCTAATGTTTTTCGATACAGCTTCCTCAAAGATGCTAATGTAGATTTCAACAAAGATGCCAAATTATAGGCACCATTGCTGTTTATCAGCCCTATTCATCTAACTATTGCAGTCTGTTGAGTGTTATGCCGTTTGGATGTATGTGGCACAAAACTGGATTTTGCTATGATGTGTGTTAACTTACATGAAGTGCAAACATGAATTCTGATGTCAAACCAGGTTTGATCATACGTGTTCCGCTATACTAAAAGGCGTACTTGGACACCCTATCTCCGTAAAGTGGCAAGTGGGTTATAGAAAGTCCAGAGCCACCAGGGAGGGTAACAATCGTCTTAATTGCCGCAACGCTTATAGAAGCCCACTGCTCAGACTACGGACAATTAAAGTTTGAATTCCTTCTTGACACCCAACTCTGAACTCTCTTCTCAGGGTCATCATTTCCGAACGTACGGAGCCACAAAGGATGAGACAGCTAATTAATAAATCTGTATGTTGTGACTTATCTCACTTATCTGACAGTAACATTAGAACAAGCCCACGAAATACAATGTAACAAGGAGTGAAAGATTGCGCCTGACATTGGCAAGAACCTTGAGTACCATACAGGTGAGAGTACGACTTCGCTCACTTTTGATGGAGAGCACCTCGGAGGTCGGGTCTGAGAGTGTCCCACCTCTCTTACCCTGCCACCAACCTTTCGAGAGTACTTTCGGCTCGCTCCCTATTTAGAGTGCACCCATGCCTCACGGACACTATACATTTATAAACATCCATGCCTTCTCCGGGAATCGAACTCGAGTCCTTCGGTACCGCAGTAGGCTTCCCTAATCACCATACAGTCTGGGCGGCATTAATGAATCTTAGTCATCGCGATACCCACTCGGATGGCTTGCGCCACTACCTTCCCGAATAGCGTAGACTGCCCTTTTGGGCAGTCGAAACCGCGCCGTATATTTTATGCCTCTAGAGTCTCTACTGTCAGAGTATAATACTGAGCCAGTATTTGCAATCCCAAGGGTTATGGATTCTGATGTAGCAAACTTTAATCTTTTCTCTATTAAGTATAAAAATCTTATTTTGATTCTTTTTATTTTAAGAAAAACTTGTTTCATAAACAACTAAAATTTTTCCCTCCTTTTGGGAACATTCTATATAATGCGTAAATTCCCTCGATTAGATATTTATATATTTTTAAGGTACTTTTCCGTTTTGCCGGGGCAAACGATAAAGTCGCCAATAATGGTACAACTGACGCCAAACGGAATATCTTCGCTGGTAACCTTTTACGCCTCAGTTTCAAAACAAGTCGCAGCCATTTCTTATCAGATTCATTGTTTCTTTCACTACTGGTATACAATTACATAGAATTTTTACAAGATAGTTAAATTTTATCCCCTAAGACAATTCGCAATAATTAAGATGATTAGAATGCAATCACACCGCTCACCCAAAGGCAAAAATATAGAAAAAGCATTTAAACTTGTATTCCAAATTAATTTTAAACTTGAAATTAATGTAGATAATTACTGAGAGAATTAGATTTTTCTAGGGCAGTTTACGTGAGATGAGATCACTTGGGGTGACGTGATACGAACCGGCGACTCAGGATGTTGAACCATGAAAGCATAATAAATTCTTATATTAATGCCTTTCTACAAATTTATTGTCTTTATTTATTGGGTTTTCACAAAATTTTAAACCATATTAAAATGTTTATGCCTTCAAAAATAAAAAATTCTTAGAATTAACATTTGTTAACATTTTTTATGTGTATACTGTATGTTGTCACCAACAAAGTCTGTTTGGCGAGATTTGCGCCGTCGAAGCGGAAAAGTACCATTTTTAATTATATTACTTATACGGATCATAAAGTGCACCTGTGCAAATAGGAAGAAGTATTTTATCGAGTTTTATTAAAAGAAAATGATTTCCTTCCCAATGCTCTTTTAGTAAATCATGCAATATTAAATCGTTAGTTTATTTCCAGTTCTCTGAAACCAGAGTAAATGAAGACGTAGGAACTTAAATTAGATGAAAACATCCTTGTCAAAGAGCTACGTAAACCTTCAAATGCACTACGAAAATAATTCAGGATGAAATATGAAGAACTTTTAAAACTTTTAAAATTCCTAAATCTTGCATATATTTTTATATATACGTTTAACAATTCTATAACGATGGTAAATCTAACAAGGATACCTTGTCATCTTAATGATATTACAAGATCACGATGACCTTACAAAGTTACAAGACATAATGTCATATGTAAATGACATTACAAGCTCAGCTTGTTTATGCTTTCAAAATCTTACAGCGCTTAAAGCTACAAGTATTATTATTATTTATAATGTTATTATTTAAATTAATCAGTTATTTATAATTTCAGCCTTTACCATAATTCTTTTTTTCCCCTCGAGAATGCAAATGAGATAGCCAGTGCTTAAAATGAGGTTTGGGGAGTTTAAGAAAGAGCGTGTTTCTGATTTCAGGCGCTCGCTACTTTTAGTTCCTGCTGGCTCAAAATAGTTGTGATTATTCCGCTTTGCGTTTTATCGTTGCCGACTCTGTGATTTTTATGCTCCGGTAAAATTAACTAAGTAAGCTTCGAGTAAGATTGAAATTGTGTAGTTTTCGACTACATTCACATGTTTAACTTAAATTCGCTGTTCTGCTTAGTCGCATCACCACGAGTTGTGGCTGATATTGTTAGTAGAAGAGAGGTTATTTAAATAAAAAGGATTTTTTGAAACTTTCTCAGGACTAGTAATTACTTCGGACTACTTCTCAGGACTTGTAATTATTTCAGTTACAGATCAAGTAAAGTCCCCCATACTATCTTATTACGTTTAAATCTTATTAAACGATGTTTAACAAATTAGCCCTCTTTCATTATTTCATTAATATTTTATTTCAATGCAATAAAACAAATATAGTCAAACATAGGTTTGATGATTGTCAAATGATTAATCATAAATATGGTTAAATCGTCTAAAATTAATCAATTTTAATAAAGGTATGTATTACTAATTGCTAATTTTTTATTTATACATGCTGTTGAGTACATACAGGTTCGCAATAGATTGAATGCACATTGATTATAGCTTGATAAAATTTGTTTTACTAGAAGAAATGCTTTAAAGCTATGGAATTTTCCACAGAAATATCCCTACAAGTGTTCACAGTATCACACAGTACAATCAGCAGTTGCACTTCAAACTACTAAAATCGTTAAACATAGTGCAATGCAAAGAGCATCTAAAGAGAAAGTAATCCGATCTCACGCTGAACTCGCAACAATAACACAGCAGCTAACTAAGCAACTGAGAGCAGATGCTCTCTCTCTCCGGGCTTTTACAGTATTCAACCGGCCGCAGATATATTTCTGCTTCTCGAAATTACTGGAAAGCAATACAAGGGTGGAATTACGGTTACAGTTAACATAGTGGTCAATTACATTTATTTAGTTTCAATACTTATTACGGTGATACAGGGATCGGACTAAAATGGAGCAAAATTTAGCGACTTTTGGCGAAAACGTTGTCAGCAAAAACCGCCAAACCGCTGTCGGCCAAAACTTTCGTCAGTTTGGCGATATCTCGCCAAATTACTGAGACAGCCATTTGCTCACTGTTAAATGCAATTGCCCCTGTATTTTTACTTTTTCGACATAGTTTTCTCTTAAAACTTGTCTCGCACTGCATTACGCAGAAAAATACAATTTTACTTAGAATTCTACTAAAATTACCTATCTAAGTACAAAACTCGTGACAATACCATTTATTCAACTCCTTTAAAAACGTATACAAGGAAGATGTACAGCAGTTTCAATGCAATATAAATTTTCATTAGTTTTATACATTTCAGAATGTTCCAGCGAAAACACTCATTACATCTAAGCTGTCCCTTTAGATTGGATTGTAAATGATAGTATTTTTAAATAAGATCCTAAATAAGTAAACTATATTAAATTGCTCACAGTTGTATTTTATCTTTTGCAGTTGTAACTGAGAGAGGTCTTCATCACTTTGCTCCTGTTTTCGCCCTATTAGGCAAATCCATAGCAAACGCTTCATTTCTTACCTTATACATGTATGCTATCAAGACTTTTCCTACTGGTGTCAGGTAAGTTCTATCCAACTAGTAGCTACAGAATCTTTAAATCATGTATAATTAATAAGAATAATTTTATGAAATTTTATTTTCAGACATGATAGGAAGGATTCTTAAAATGTAGAAGTCATAAGTTTACGATATTTCACCATATTAATCTAGCCATGCGGACGGAAATGTAGTCAGTGACTTTGATTGCCATACTGACTGTCCGGGATATTACCAGGGACAGTACCTTCAATTTATGCAGAATCAGGGTTAATCCATAAGGTAGTTAAAAAATACAATGAAAAGAAATAAAGATGTTATAACTAACAGTAAAATACTACTATAAATTTATACCTGAATTTTCAAGCAGTTTATTCTGAAGAATAAGGCCTCCCAGACGGTATAGTAGTTAGGGTAGCCAACTGCGATACCAAAGGGTCTGGGTTCGAATCCCGGTAAAGCATAGTTGTAACTGTCTGTTCCTTCATAGGATGCAAGGGTGGTCCACCTGTCAGGTGTCTCCATAATAAAGTTGTAGAGACATTAGAATTTTTTGGAAGCAAGAGAGATTAAAAACATGAATTGAACCACGGACCTCTGGAATTTGCGCCCAGCGTACAGACCACCACACCACGAAGGCATGCTAGGAAGGCGGGAGAAATACCTCATATACCCCCCCTTTTAAAGGGTGACTGAGGTTTTTAGGGGACCCAATATCCAAATCCTGAGTGTGGAGAATCATCATTCACCAGCCTTTTAGTTCGGGCGCCACTGTAGAGACATTAGAATTTTTTTTTTTTCTGGAAGCAAGACAGATTGAAAAATTATCAACAGATCAACCGGGAATCGAATCACGGACCTATGGAATATGTGCCCAGCGTGCTGACCACCACACCCCGAAGGCATGCTAGGAAGGCGGGAGAAATACCTTATAAAGTGACGACCAATTCTGGCCTTAGTAATGGCCAAGCCGATGTCGGTTGAGCGCTCGCCATTGGAATTACGTATATACTACCTAGATTTAGGATGACAGTTTGTTGCACTCCCAATGCTTCTTCTTTTTCTATTGGTATGATAACTCACGACTTAGAAATTTAAATCTACAAAAATGAACTATTTATAAAAGTGTGTCTTTATTAGAAAAGATACTTTAGGCTATGAAGTAATAGAGTGGAATTCACAAATAAACCCGAAAAGAAAAAAAAAAAAAAAAAAAAAAAAATCTGAAAGAGTTCAGATAGTAATGATCGCCCAGAAGGATTTGTTAAGGTTTGTTACGCTCTCGCTGACCTCATAATTTACCATACTCCTGCTGCACTCACTTCTGCTATCTTTATTATTACGCACCATTTCCTTCGCACTTACGTCATATACAATTCAAAATTATATAAAAGCAGCATAGCCGTATATGTTTAGAATTCACGATGCAGTATCAAGTGTTGGCATACGGTTTCCCATTTTTTCAGTCTTTTCTCGGTTCACCATATCAATGTTAAATTTTCCTAGTAACACAGCTTGCAATTTTTTTCTTTTTATTATTAATGTTTCATGTGTTAACTTTATTTATTATTTACCTTTACAACAATTTTTGCACTTACGCCACATAAAATTTGATTCAACAGCAAAATCACAAAATATTTAAAAACAGCATATTTTTAGAATTTCCGGTAGGCAGTCTCGCTCGCGCGCTGGAGTTAAAAATATTTTATTCCGTACAGTGTAGCCACTGCTCGCTTTGAAATCGTTGAGTTTGTTAATTAAAAATTCAATAAAGTTTTACAAAATATGAAATATAAAATTTCACAATTCAAAATTCGGACTTCCAAGTGCACATGCTCGGGTGGCGTAATGGCAAACCGCACATTGAGTTGATCAATGTTAAACGAATTTCGTTTACTGCGCATGCCCAGGATAGAAGTTGGCGCAATTACAACTGTGGCTCAATTTTAAAAGAAGATAAATACAGTATACGGTTGGTATTGTGTTATCTAGGCGTAAACATTTCGGAGTTTTAAAACTTGTCAGGTTGTAAGTTGCTTCATTACTTAAAGTGTAACTATCGATTGTAAACTACGCAAATTTTCGTTTAAGAAGAATTACAAAGAAGGAAAATCATTACAAGATATATTAGCGGAATGCCTATTAATTATACTTCTGAGGAATAAAAGCAATTGAGTATTTACCATACGTTCCATTCGTATTTACTTTAGCGAATTAAAGAATAAATCGAGTCTACATTACTGAAATAAAGTCAAATAAGTGGGCTTTATTGGAATAATCAATACATACATATAAAACAGCTGAAGTATGTGGTACTCATACATATGCCTGCAAACTGACCCTATTTCCAAATAACCGATATTAAATGAAATGTTTATGAACAAAATAAACCAAATGAAACAGAAACACATGCAATAAGCACAAATTTCCGTAGTATTTCAATTATAAAACAGTAAAACCATCATGACTAACAGGCTTCTTGTAGGGTTGCTTATGCCCCCCTTAGTCTCCAGTATTCCCTCCCACGCCAACGGTACATCGTTGAGCGTGCGCAGTAAGCGGAATTCGTTAACATTGATGAACTCAATGTGCGGTTTGCCATTACGCGCTCGGGTGGAGGACTACGTTATTCAAAATTTGTTGACCTTAGGTACCGTCGTTTTTTCACAATGCGAAAACATGCATACATTCATGCAGATTCTTCGTTAGTTCATTTCTTTAATCATAATACAGTGAGATAGTATTTGAAACAACAATTTGAAAAGTGATTCGATGTTTAGAGTGAACGGCGCAAAATCCCATTTCGACGCTAATAGCCCATTTAGGCTAACGTCCTTTTGGAATACTAATTTTGTACTGTTCTATCTACTATTTTACGCATTTAATCAGTAAGCATTCGCTCAACTTCATATCAAGATTAAAATTAAAATTTTAAAATTAAAAAAAAAATCTGAAAGGTTTCAGATTTTAAATTTCGTCCAAAGCAGCGTTTTATTAACATTTTGTGTGTTACCTTTACTTATTAAATATCATGTTCTTTGCTCTTAAACCATTAAATTCAATTCAAGAGCAATATCACAAAATAATTTTTACATGAGCATATCTTTATAATTTCCAATAAACAATCTCACGAGCTGGAGATAAAAATGTTTTTTCTGTACAACGTTGCCATGGCTCGCTGAAATCCTTGAGTTTGTTAATCAAAAATTCGTTAATGTTTTACAAAATACGAAATCGATAATAAAACAAATTCCAAATTTCAAATTCGGCTTCTAGATGCCCATATCCGCAGTAGTATTACGTCATTCGAAACTGGATGGCTCTAGGTACCTTTGTTTTATCGCAATGCGAGAAACAGACATACATTTATGCAGATTCTTCATTATTTATTTTTTTTTTCAAATATAATGCAAGGCGATAATATTGGGTGGCAACAGTTTGAAAAGTGAAACGGACGTTCAGAGTGATACGACGCAAAACGAAAACAATAGTCCCTCAGGAAAAAAAGCCCCTTTGGAAGAAAAAGGAAAATGCCCGCCCGATTTTATACCTAATGAGCATAATCGAATTCATTCAGGATCACTTCAGTCTTTATTTTGCTTTGCTTTTTAGCGCTCAAATTATTCCGAAGCAAAGATCACAAATTTTCTTTCGAATCCGAGGCTCCGTCTTTCAGCAGGAAGCTATTCTGTGAATTCAGGAAATAACTTAGAATTTCATCTAAATATTAAAAAATTTGCTTATTTTATTTCACAAAAATGAGTACCTCATTTTATACTCTTAAAATAAGTTCACTCGCCTTTGGGATATTTCACTCTCTTTCGTCTAGAATTCTAGTTTCTCAGAGCACTTGAGACAGATTTCTCACAATCAGTCACCGTGTCGTCTAACTCAAATACAAAGGTAGCAAAGAATTCCAATTAAGTCACTCAATCAAGCATACGTTTCTCCTAGAGGAAACGGACTTAAACGAAAGTTAGAACGATACGAAAGCAAACAAAATGGCTAACCGATTAGCCAAATAGAAATACCTTATACTGTAACTGAAGGCTCTTAAAAATGTTTTTCGTGCTTCCTTTTAAATATATATAACAGAAAGTACTTAAGTGACTGCAGGTGAAAAGGAAGTCTCTTGTTTTAGTTAATGAACTTTGGATATTATAAAGGAAATCAGAAACTGAATTATCATTCTCAAAACACTGAATTGCCATCCTCAAAAATCTCTGAGAATGGTAATTCAATTTTTTCTCCTTAATTCTGGAAGAAGATTTATAAAAAATGGGAAATTTAGCTTAACTTAATAGATCTCAGTGCAAAATGTTAGACAGAGAGCTTTAATGCTAGGCGCCTTCTGTGACTTTAGAGTACTTCATAAAAGAGGTACAGCATAAAATTGATAGGTAAGAAATATTAATCGCGTAAATGATGTTAAAAACAGAACCAAAATGTCAAAAAATATTTCTCTTATTTCAGCCGTCTTTCCGTAAACCAAATAAATACACTATAAATTCCTATTTGTTTTCGTACGGTTATATAGTGGACAAAATGTGATAAAACATATATGAATGACGAATTTACCAGTGTTAAATGTAATTAACACCCATGGAAAAAGCAAAAAGAAATTTTGTATTGACGTATTCCGTATTTCCTCACGTATCCCCTCTACCTTTTTAACGCCAGGTTCTGCAAATTTTTTTAATTTTCGTGTCATTTTCACTCTCCTCAATGCGTTCAGAGATCGAGCTTCCCTAAATTTTAAAATAGATTCGTTCACGTAGTTATTGTTTTCTTCTTACGAACAAAGGCAAACTAACTACCCCTAATAAACTACCTGAAAAGGACACGTCCAACCTTTCCCTTTTAACTGTTGAACTGTATGCCAGCCTAATACAAGAACAGACCCATCACGGTAAAACAAGACAACAACAAGAACGGGAGAGATTCGAGTTACAGGAAAGTAAAAACGAAAAGATATCTTACTAGATATTGTAATGGCGATATTATTATGTATTCTTCTTGGAATG